ACTACTACTACTACTACTACTACTATTATACTTATTGATTATGCAAAATTTACTTGGCGTAAATAAATCGAAGGTAGCCACCTCATGACAGCGTCATTTCATGTTTGTAAAACATTTTTAGAGGGAAATTTGACATTATGATTAAGCAGGGGGAAAAGTGCAAGCGCTATTGTCGCATGCCTTTTTCAACAATGTGAAATTTAATTTTCAAATCTCATTGAATTCAAGCATAACAAATGAGCAAAAATGTAAAATTGAGCTATTATTCTATAACAAAATCTCATTGTAGAAGGATGAAGGAGTAAAAGGATGCAAGAGAAAAACACTGGAACATTTCATTTCCGCTCTTCTGGGTTCATTTCCGCTCAGAGGCTGCTATTCCATGCAAAGCATTCTTCTTTCTTTTTCCAACAGGAAAAAAAAATATGAACAATAGAATTTGTGTTAATATGGCTTTCCTCTTTAGTTCTATATATTGTTGTATCTCATATGGGAACATCAGAGAACATCCTACTTTGTTTATCTGTTGACCGAAACATTTAATCTGATGGATCGTATGTGTAATATTTTTCATTAGTATCTATTAGCTAACTGATTATTCAACTAATTAGTAAATTGGATGTCCATTTTATTAGTAAATAAAACTGATCAACATAATAATTGTTCGGTTACTAATTTGAATATTTTATCGCAACAAAATGTGCATTTTACCGTAAAATTGTAAATTAGTAAATAACTCAACCGGGAAATCTTTCACTATGATATTGATTACACCGGTAAGCGGGAAATCGGGACAAAAGTATCAGTTTCCAATGATTTGAATTAGGTCAAATGACAATCATGCAAATGTTTCATCAATATTTGGTTCCTGTAATGAATAAAATCATAGGTAAGGGATTAATTGATGAAGTATTCCACATGACACGTGATATGAAAGGTCAAAGGGATTGTGGGAGAGAGAACGGGAGAGAGAGAGAGGAGGGAGAGAAGAAGTATGGTGGATTAAAATGAAGATCCAAGACTTTCCTTTCTTCTTTTCTTTTTCATCCAAAGCATCATCAAGATGTTCCTGATGTTTTGCAATAGAACCAATTATCCATTCACATTATTTGAATGACCATTGGTCAGAAGAAATCATTGCTTTTATTGTCTCACTGAATACTTCTAAGTGGTTTATTTAGTATTTTTTTGAGAGGAAAAAACAACGATTTCTTAGTTTGATTTAAAAAAAGAGAAAGAAAATAAGCAATATTTTCAAAATCGCAAATAATTTAACTTTTACTCTTTCTTAACAGTTTCTTCTTTATTCTTTGATAAATTTCAAAGAAAAATGACCAGATGAAATTCCTATTTCAACTTTTTTCTCATATTTTCTGGCATTTTCATTAATTCCACCTGTCACTTTCTATTACTTCTCTCTCTCTCTCTCTCTCTCTTTCTCTCTTTTTAACACTTCTTATTTTTATTGGTTTCACTCGTATCCTCACCATTTCTCAGATAAGTAGAAATTAAAAAATTATTTCAATGTTGCAACATAATTTGAACTTTGAACCTTTGAGTTATATATAGCAGAGGATTGGGTCCCAGAAAGAATGTCAGGATACGGTTGTTTTATTATGAACTTTTCGTTTTGCGGATGATGTTTGTAACTCTCTGTTTGTTGGGTTGAAGTCCTTGGGGTTTTTTTTTTCTTGGGAGTAGATGAAGTTATTGAGACGGAAACACGGGGATATTTGCTGACGAATGTTTTGTGAAAATTAGAATTTCTCAAGCAAGAAACTATTTCTGTTTCAGAAAATGGATGATGTAGGTGCAGCGATTACAACGTTAAAAATTTTAATTGTCGGTGAAAGTGGTGTCGGAAAGTCGAGGTTACTATTGGTTAATTTTAATGTGTATTTGTGATTGTGTATAAGCTTATAAAATGAGGAGCATTGGTATGTCTGATTATGTGAGTAGACATAAATAATATGCAGTAATTATGTAAATGACAATGAGCCATCGAGGTTATATCATAAGCAGTGGTAATGTATACTATAGTGTTGTTTTACAAGTAATGGTTCCATTTAAATTCATATTTGGATTTCAGTAGACAAATTCACCATTCAAAGGAAAAATTTCATGAAAATTCCAAGAATTTTTATAACAACTGAAATTTATTTCAGTCTGATGTTAAGATTTGTGGATGACACATTTGATCCGGAAATTGCCGCTACAATTGGTTGGTTCCCATCATTTGTTGTTGTGCAGGTTTAGGATAAGCATTTTTAGAATTGCAAGACGTAACTGATAAATATCTGATTATGTTCATATTAAGGAATTGATTTTCGAGTTACATCAATGATGGTCGATCAGAATCGGGTGAAACTAGCAATCTGGGCAAGTTTCTTTTGTTTTATATGCCGTGGTGATATACATATCACATTTTCATTATTGCGGGACTTAGCCATGTGTTTTTCTTCCAGCTGAGCTCACATCTGTGTCAAATATATCATTACTTCAGGTGGTGCTACGTTAATTTAGGTTATTCAGACTTAGCACGATGAACAAGTAGCTGAGACATGCAGGCTTTCTTGAAGTTTTTATATATCCTACAGATTGCATTATGTTCTAGTAGTTGATTTTCCAGCACGCATAAAAATCTGGTTTGTCGAGCAGTACAAATAATGGTAGTTCAGAAATGTATTTTCCAAGAATTTTTTTATCTTCATAACAAATATTTATGCCCTGCATTTTTCAGGACACAGCGGGACAAGAGCGGTTTCGTACTTTAACGCCAAGTTATTACAGGGGAGCACAAGGAGTGATATGTGGTAAGTATTTGACGATCTTTGATTTTTTTCCCTTGATATACATATGTCAGCAAATAATTGGGTTTAATGCTTATTTGGATAGAGTGATGTCATGAATATGGACATCCGCTGATGATTTTCCAATCGTCATCGATGATCCTGAGTTGTCAGAACTATGTAATACGTTTGCATATGTATCTTCAATCCTTCCGATCATTCTGCTATGAATTTAATTTACTTTTGGAAGACATTATATTAAATAGCATGTTTTCACTTTTCAGTATACGATGTGTCAAATCGTCAAACATTTGAAAAACTTGGCCATTGGATGAATGAAGTAGACACTTATTCAACCAAAATGGATGCCGTGAAAATGCTCGTTGGGAATAAAATTGATATGGTGAGTTCTTTTTGGTAATTTTTGGTAATAAGTAAATGACTATATGTATAACCAAGAAATCGGGCCGATGTATTGAATGGTGGTTTTATAGTCCAATAGAGAAGTTACTCGAGAAGAAGGATTAGAATTCGCAAAAAAGTATCGCATGCTCTTTATTGAAGCAAGTGCTAAAACTCGTGAAGGTGTACAGTGTGCATTTGAGGAACTTATTGAAAAGGTTTGTATTCACTCTTTCCCATAGTTTTTCTTCCTGCTAAAATTAAGTTAACATTATGAGTCTTAGTTTAATTCGCCTTCCACTGGATAGAAGCGTATACTGTGTTCCTAAATGATACATGTACTGCAGATACTGGACTATTTATTCTACCTACTCTTATATTGTCGCTGACTACAAGATATCATTTATATTTTATAGCGACAGTGCCGATGATGTGAACTAGCCAATGCTGATCTTTGCTTGTGATGGCTTAACCCTATGAGTTAAGGAGAAGCGAGCTGAGGCATATAGCATATATGATGATACCAGGAAATAACGTGTTCATATTTATAATTTAATTTAAAACTATGGCAGTATATTTCTAGATTTTACAAACACCGGGACTTTGGGACAGTGATCGATCAGCTTTTGCTCTTGGTGCTGGCGCAGATAAGACTGTTGCCAATTGTACATGTTGATGTATAAAATGACTTCGGACTACTTCGGTTGTCATGACTCAGTGATACATTCAATTTGTCCGTGATTCAAACGTGATGCTTTCTTCTTAAATCAGGATCATCGTGATATAGAACAGCCATGATTTTTTTACTACTATATGCTTGTTTCATTTCGTGGCATCAGTTTTTGAGAATAATTTTGGAACGTTTTTCTGCCACAATTGTCATCAGTGGTGACAATATAAAAAAGGATTATCTTTTGCACTTATTAGTATGACTGCTCATGTCATGTGAAACGCATATAGATTTTTTTGTAAATGATGCAGTCGCTGTGAAAGTGATTTATTTGCCTTATTTTTTGAACTGGACATTGTGGTTGCATGGCTGGTATCATATGTTTCTTCCAAGTGATCTATCTAGCACCTAATTGGGTATGCAGTTTTACCATTTTGGCCAAATGCGTAATCTCCTCAAATCCTTTCCTCATTAATAGACGAATGGATGTAGTTGAATTGGATATTGTTTTGTTTATATCCAACGAAATTACTTTACTTAACTTCCCTTACTTATCGAACACAGCTTTTGGCCTGGAAATAGCTCTATACATATGTTTGAAATTTACGCTAATGTCGATGAATTTGAAATAATTTGTTGTACCTTTTTACTGTACTATACTAGTAAAAGTGATTCATAGTATTATAATTGCTGCTTGAAGTGGTAGGAGTGTATATTTTCTGAAATCTAGTCAGTCAATATTCAAACAGCAATAGATTGATGTGATCTACTGGATTACGGTTTATTTTAGTAATCAACAGTATCACGGCCTGAGTTTTGCGATCTAGAAATAATCAAATAGTAAACAGTGATTCCACGAACAACAGATTATCTCCTGTAGAATACCGTGGTGTGTTTGCTGAATGAATTTTGCTTTGTTTTTCTTACACAGTATGATTAAGTTAATTTTATTCTACGCACCAATAAACATGTATAGTGTGCGTAATTGAGTTAATCTTACCTTTATCAAGGTAAGATCAAGGTTTATCAAGGTTTATCAAGTGCTATAAATAGCTGAATTATTCATGAAGAAAGCAGTTTTAAATTGCATATAGTGGATAGTCAATATGGGATTGTATTTGTAATATATGTTATTAATATTGTACAGTATCTCTGAAAAAGTTTCCATCAATAGTAAGAATAACACTGTGGTCTTGACAGCGCTATGTGATAATTGTTTGGTGATACTGGTAGTAGGGAATGCTTTCTCCACAGTGATATAACACTATAATAAAGTAGGTAATATACTGTATGAGAATTCACTACTATCCACTAGTACTGTAATCAATAGAGTTCATTTCAATAGCTAACAGAAGGAGATTAACCAATAGCAATTTAAATCAGATAAACGCATCGAATTGACCAATAGTAAGATTGGATGATCTTTTAGCTATAATGATATACTGGGAATATGTTATATGTAAATTTTATCCTTACTCTAGTTTACATTTATATGGGCGCAATTAGCCCTTTTGTTTACTTAAACAGTAATAGACGATGATTCATCAATTAACAGCTATCCTCTCCTTATGGTTATATTATAAGGCAGGCATCTTCTTTGACTTATAATCTTCCCCAGATATACGTAATGTCTGTTCTTGATAAATGAAGACTTCGATTTTTTTTTGAGTTAGAGAAGGAGTCTGCGGATATTCCAATCTAAAAAAGTGAGAGAAGCTTTTTTGAAATAAAGCAAGGGCAAAATGAAAAATTACTTTTACTCTAAATGAGCAGAAAGAAAGAGAGAGCAATCTAAAATCGGTTTTCCGGGTGTCTAATCAGTCAGTCTAAAATACTCAGCATATCCATAATCAGCTTGTCAACACTATTGATTATATTATTAGATTTCATTTTCCCCTTTTCCTTTTCCTAATGTTATTTCAAACATATATACAAAGATCATTCAACTATAATTGTCAGTTTACTTTTATGCTTTAGCAAACTTAAGCAATATATTTTATGTCCTCTTTGTTAATGGTCACTTTCTCTCTCTCTTTCTCTTTCTTTCTTATTGTCATCATCGATTTTAAGATGTATAAAGCGTAATGTTATTGTATACTAAATTTTGATCAAATTTTCGCAATTTTTTTAATTCTAAAATTTTGCAAATTTTAGAATTAAAATAGTTTGTGCCAATGTATTTGACACAATATATCGAAATTTTCTTAACTTTAATGATAGAAGTCACATAATGTAAATAACATTCCAGGTGTACCAATGTAAAAGTTTTACTTTACCAATGAAGACATGATATAAACAAAATCAGGACTGAAATGGAAATCATCAAAAGTAATGCTTTAAAATGATTCAGTTTCGATTCGATTAGGATATCCTATGGAAAGTGTATTATTATCGATCCTATCCAAATAGGATATCCTATGGAAAGTGTATTATTATCGATCTGATCCGATTAGGACATCTTATGGAAGTGTATTATTAGTTGAGCAGGGTCACAATGGAATATATTTTCCAAGTTTCATATAAATCACTATGGATTAATTGGTTAAGATGAGATAGTTGGAAGTATCAATGGCTTAATTTAGTCATGGAACCGTCCTAGGCACATAATTGTCCCCATTCTTGCTGCAAAATCTTCGATTAATCCTGCACTAAATTGTCAAAAATCTTAGGAAGGGAAGGAAAGGGAAATAAATTGGACTTCAATAAACATTTTTGTTCAAATTCCTTATAAAACCCATAAAACATGGAGGACAGTACTGTTGACTTACCTGTAACATTACAAAGCTTAACTTAATCATCTGGAACTATCACACTTCAAATAATAATTCTTACCTGTAACATTACAAAGTTTAACTTAATCATTTAGAACTATCATACTTCAAATAATAATTTAAGGTAGAACATCGATTAGTTCATATTAATGAAATATTTTCTTCTTCTCTCTAACTCATATGTTTTCATATCCTTTTCAAACATCAGTTTCAAAGTATCGCTTGGAAGAAATAACTATTCCGTCACCATTATAGAGGAAGAGAGAGAGAGAGAGAAAGAGAAAGTAGAAGGATGACGAAGTGGTTTGCAATTTTATCAGATAAATTGATCAAATGAATATACGAGAAATTACAATAATTCATCTACTGATAGGTTCATTCATAATTTATTGTTAGGAAATTTGATAACATTTCACACCTGAATAATCTTATTCAGTATTACATATCCTTTTAACATTAAATTTATCAAAATTTACCACCATGTTATCCTTACTTTAACCCAGAAATTTGCTTGATAATTAATCAATAATTCATTTCGACTCATTCTTGATATGGGTTTATTATACGTGAACAAAAACCGGAAAACTGTATTGTCATATCCTGAGGAGATTTTTCCAGAAGAAAGCTTGAAATAATCGCTCAAATCAAAAAATATTTTCAATTTTAGATAAAAGAAAGAAAAAGTTCCAACATATCAAGGTCAATTCATGGAACCAGCTTGGAAATGTTGAATGGAACCAGTTCACTTTAATTTGTATCTGGATCAACACCATCACATAGTATTTGAAGTGAATGTGGTTGAGAAAAGATCACGATGAAAAAATTTGAAATTACTGTCGTGCCATACGTGCCATAAATTAATGTCATGCCATGTCCTCTTACCCATTGCAATTAATCTTACCATCACATCTAAAGGTCATATAATGAGATCAAAAGGTTATATGCAGGTCATTATTGTACTGCAAATTAGTCAACTAAAGGCTATCTACTTATCTTATTCAATTTATTATAGACTATAACTTTGAAATAGCTGGCAGATTATAACTGGAATTGTAAGCTTACTTACATTTCATAAACAATTTAAGTTAATTAATTAGAATTTAGAATGATGAAATGAAGAGTAATTTGTAATCCTTCACCATCATCCACTTGATTACTGTCTGACCCATAAAAGATCTGTTTACTTTTCATTAGGAATGTAATATCTCACTCTCACTGACAACTCGTTGAAATAATACATCTTCAGTCACCTGCAATATATATCTATAGTAAAAGGTGTGAATATACTGGTTGACAATGTTGATCAATGATACTAAATGGGACACAATTATCCAGTATTGATGTGAAATCATCCATTATTTATCATTTATTGGCTTTTAAAAAGAGGCTTTTAAAGAATAAAAATTGGATTTGAAATTCCCGCTAAAATCAAATGATCGGTGACAGCTGGCAAAAGCTAAAAGTACACTTCTCGTTGATATTTGACATTAGGGAAAGATGAAAAGAACAAATAGAAATAATTTTAAAAAAATTTTTTTTTTCCAAAAAATTGTTCCATCAATGGGAGGTTCCCATTATCTGCCTGAATGAAATAATCAATAAGTGAAATATAACATTTTCATCATTGGCAACGTAAAATTCTGATATGTTTCATCTCGTAATGAGTCATCACCGGTTTACCGGTTTTTTTTTTTGTTTCAATTGAAAATTGTTTGTAATAAAACTTACTGTTTTCAAAATTCTCCGATCGTACGTTAATTTCATTAAATTAATCCATTACATGGGAGGATCAAATAACTGGAATAATTTTAGCGTTACATAATCACTTATATTACCCAAGTACATTACTTATGGTTAACTACTGTGACACTGCTGTCACAACCAGGATATGTATGTCTTAATCATACCTCATTTTAATTTGTTTCAATTTCATCCAGAATACATATATGCTATGTTTCATTCTCATCCAATTCATTTTCTGATATAAGGTTAGGTTACTTGTTTGATCATCGTGTGATATACCTTCTTCCTTCAGTAATATTCCGTATCCAACAAATTAGTTGGGAAGCTTAGGAATATTCAAATTCGGTTTCAAAACTTTTTTTTCAATTAATCTGGGATATACCCCATCAAATTAGAATGACGTCATTTCATAATAAATTGAATCAGAGATGAGTTTGCTTTGCCCGTGAAAGAAGAATGCATGAGTCATAGTGTGATGCAACTATTGCCGTTCCCATGTATGCTATGCATGTCTGAATGTCATGCATGTGGGAGGATGCTGCTACAATGACAGCCACATTTCGTAGGGCTGACATTCCCGCCATTCTGTTTATTTGAAATTGACCAATAGGAATAGATGGATGGAGAATTCAACCAATGAATGAGCGCAAATTGCACTCACTCACCCGAGCACATCCAACCCACGCACTATTGCTTCTCCAAACATGGCTTCTTAGCATAGAGAGTATGTTAAAGTCAGAGAAGCAGATGAATAGCGTGCGCGGGACTATCATGTTTGCATGTCTCTCTCTGTATAATGGCATGTCTGAATGCCTGTTCGGTGGACCATTTTGCGTTAGTGGTTGTGGATACCGAGTGGTTGCTTGGACAGCTTTCGATTGTCGCTTTTAGTGTTCCGGTTTTTTCGGATGGTTAATTTCGCGATGGTCGGGGTTCGGTTCATTCCAGCACTTTACAGATTGCAGATTTTTCATCAATGGGAATTTCTTTTCCTCGAATATCATACGTGATATTGCGAGGATAAGTAATTCGGTACAAGTGAGAAGTACCACGAATATCCAGAAGCCCCTTTTCAGAAGTTAACTATCTCAAGAGTTTTCGTTGAGGTTGAAGTGTATGGAAAGTTTTCCTGAAAGCGAATTGTTCTTAAATTGTTTTTTTCTGAACTCATTTCCTTAAGTGTTCAAATTTTTTTTCTGAGGTTAATTGTCATAAGGGCTTTGCTGAAGGTGAGTCATCCTGGGAATGGATATATCTGAATCCGACTTTGCTGAAAATGAGTCTGAAGGGGAGCGGCGAATATATCCGAATCCGTTTAGACGGGTTAACCTTGGCTGAGGTATTCGAAGGTCATAATGCACAATGCGTTTTACACGTTGAGTGCAGAGATGAAATTGGGAGCAAGAAAGGTTATCAATGCAATACATTTCTTAGCCGGAATTAATTGTTCTTTATACATTTTTCAAATTTGCATTACGAAATTGAATTGCAGTCCACATTTTTGTCTCTTCTTTACTTTGGCTTTTTTCGGAGTCAAAGTTTCATATGAATTTCCCAAAGGATGGGAAAATAGTTTGATACAGCATAACTTGGTGGTCTTTCGTTTCAACATTCAGTTCTTCAAATGAATGCTATATTTCCATTGGGAAATTTATGCATTCGTGGTTATACTGAAGTTTGAAAGGATGGCTTTCTTAGTGTAAAATGCTTGTACAGAATGATCATCATAGAACCAGTCGTTCCTACCAAACAATTAGGATGTCATCTTGACGCTGTTAATTTTGTGATCAATCTATAATTTACATTCCTTGTTTTTAGTTTATTCCATTATCGCTTTCTTTCGTTTTTTTTTTTTATTTTCTTTTATTAACATGGTTAGGTAAATTATTGAGCGCCCCCAGAATTTTCCCAGTTGTCTTTCCAGTTTGTGACAAATATCTAATTTTTTCTTCTGTACTGCTATCACTATCAGTCGGGTTTCCCCGTATAATGTTGGTCTCATTCATTATCAAGATAAGTTCAGAAATCAGAGTTGCAGGAAGTATTTTCACGTTAAATGGGAGTTAACATAGACATGAATTTATCTCTGTGAAATTCGTTTGTCATCCTCTCTGATTTCACCCAATGATTGCTTGTAGTGGTGTTAGCGATTAAATATATTATACCGTACAGGAATGAATAGGTAGATTTCAAGAACTTTGCGCAAGGATTTTCGATGACTTTTACAGATGTCGGTTTTTTAAAAGCCATAAAGTTGAAGCTAACGGATTGGTATAGTAGAAAATTCCTTTTAAGATATAGATAGAGATAACAACAGACATTGGTTACTCCTAAACCTTACGATGTTGTAGTTTGTGTTTCTAATTTTTTAATGCACATTTTTGGGTATTCCAAAGGGAATTCATGTGGCAGAAGTTCAAAGTACCAGTTTTCTGGTCTCTCTTTCGTGATATTTTGGGGTGAATCAAGTTCGTAGTATTGTTCTTACATTAATTAACTCTTTCTTTCGCCATTTTCCTGGGATTTTTTGCAGACAGCAATCGCTGGACGTTTTGCATCAGACTAAGTTGTTTTATTTGTTGATTGGTCATAAATTGTGTTGAATATTTGATTCAAAATGCTTAATTTTGTGATCTTTAGTTTCTCTTTTTTTTGGGGGAAAGGAATTCAGATCATATAAAACTTATTTTTGATTACATTTTTATTGTAAAATTTTAGTCACTATTTGTTATCGACTATAATTTTTTCCTTCTTTTATCAGTTTTGAGAGTCCTTGTTTGGTGATGAGTAGTTGACATAGCTTATAGTATTCCAAATTCCATTTCATGTGCACTCACTGCAACGTGTATTTGGAAATGTAAATGTTTTTATAGCAGGTTGGATGTATACCATCCAGTCTAGGGATTGGGAATTTTTTCTTTAGTGATAAATAGATTTGGTGAGGAAAATCACTGATAGTCTTAAGGCTATGTTAATTTTAGCCATCCTGGTAAAGAGCTATAGCTCCAAAGATTAACAGTTAGGCTCAATTTTAAATTGTTTGCAGAGAAATTCAAAAGAACTTTAGTAGCACTGGTTTTCACACCAGTATATGACAATGTTAGGTGATAGCATGACATTATGATGAGTAGGCGATAGTATGTTTCGTTACTATCAGGGCATAGATTTGATTCAATTTGCAGTTTAAATTCATTCAGATGACAAAATTTGTCTGTAAAATGGAAATGAGTGGATGTGAGTGAATGCAATGTATTTGATGAGGAGGGGGGGGGGG